CCCCCCCCCCCCCCCCATTCCACATGCTGTTCCTTACTTCACCTTCTTCGAGTGCTCCACAAACTCCTTCCACAGATCGCCCAGTTTTCCGGCCTGGGGTATCTGCTGCTTCTTGTGCACCTTGCCATCCTCCATGACTTGATCCTCGAATCGAAGCCATCCGACTACTCTGTCCGCCATGGACCCCAGGGCATCGCAGTTCATGGGGATGTCATCTGGGTTGCCAAACCTGCATTCGGAGCATTCCATCGCAACGCATGCGGGCTTCCCCCCCCAGTGCTCAAACCTACCCCCTCGGTCCTCCTCAAGGCAGTCTACCTTCTCGCAATCCAAAGCCTCTGAAAAGCTGTGCAGATCTTTACACATGGCCATCCACTTTCCACACCCACTCCCCCCGTCGCACCACTTGCACGTGCAGTCACAGTTGGCATGCATTGCAGGCATCAACATCTCGAAGGCCTTCAGGTACAGCCCCTGCTGCGTGTGGATCTGGCATGCACACTGCGATACCTTGGGTTCCACTGTGACACACAAGCGAACAGTTGAAACGGACAGAAAGGAGGACAACGGGTCAGCAAAGAGGCCGTCCTCCTGGGGCGGTGACACAGCAGAAGAGTCCATTACGCTGGAACGGTCACTACGCTGTTTCGTGAAAAAAAAAAGGAGCTCTCCCCTCATGTCTACCCACCTAAGCACCCACACCGCGTCGAGAGGAACAGCGTCCGCCCAGGGTCCGTGAAGCTGTTGTCTTCCCTCAGCAGCTCCGCCTTAAGCCCCAAGTACTCCGGCCACTTCAGAAACTTGCGCCATGCTTGGTCCCCCGCAACCATGAGCTGCCTACGGGGCTGATACTCCTCCCCTGCCTTCTTGGACGGCCTCCACATAGCTTTCGTCCCTACAGGGGTGTACGAAAGAACAGCAGTGTGCAGCGTAGCAGCAATACTGAAGCTATCGAAAGGGGTACAGAGAAGTGCAGTTGATACGTCACGTCGACAAAAGACGGCAAAGGAGATACCCCGATCTACAATTGTACAACAACAAAATTTGACAGCGCTTACCGCCAACCCCATGACACGTTCGTCCATCTTGTCGCTCCTTTCCTTGCGAGGAGCCCAGAGGTATCTCCCCTTCTCCAAAGCTTCCTGTGGAGGTATGGTGTGGTCAGCCCTGTGCATCCGGATACGCGCTGCACGGAACGTGCCGTCTCTCACACCGAGACCCTGTGCTCGGGCGGCAAGGCTTACGGCACCCTCGGCTCAGCAGGTGCGCACAGGTCAGCCACGGTGCAAGGGTCATCAGGATCGCACGTGTGCTCCGCTCCAGCAGCCGCGCCAACGACGGTGTTGTAGGCAGCACGGCCGATGTTGCCGTGTGAGTGTAGCTTCAGCTTCTCTATTGAAGCGGCCAATGCGCGAATGTTCTCCGCATCGACAGCAGCTTTCCTCGCCGCTGCCTTTCCAAGTTCTTCGACACGCAGCAACTCCCTCAGCTCCTCCTTCAACACATCACGCTCTGCTTCACCCCGTCGCGGTGCCGGTCGATAGCCTGTTTGATTACGATCGATAAAATTTGAAGCAATTTTGACGAGAGAGGGGAAATGTGAGACGGGACTCAATACTTGCGTGAGAATATGGAGAGCAGGGGAAATATAGACTACCGGAAATACAACAGCAGTGCGGTAGTCTTAAAATGTAAAACCACGCAAGATACCACCCTACCTCTTGCAGTACGCCGCTCTGAACTCACCGTTTGCAGCCGTTGTGGCGGAGTCTTCGTGGTGGGTTGTGCACTTCTCCTCGTTCCGCTGAAAAGAAGCGCTTCAAGGGGATCGGAGTGAGCGAGACGTGCATCGCATCCTAGCCTTGGACCTCGTTCGGCAGCAGCAGCAGCCACTGCAGCAGCAGCAGCAGATCTGGTGTTCGATCGCTCCGGCTACTTCTTTCCACGTTTCGGAGCCCGTCCCCGGAAACCATCAGCATGCTCTCGGGACTTCAGTACAAGCTCCTCGAGGTCAATCACTGTGCAGCCTATTGGTTTGCTAGCCTGTTGCTCAGTGCCCTTCTTCAGCAGCGTGGAGGTCAAGTGATACCCGTCGGGGTGTTCGCGCCATTTGTGCTTGACGACCCGATCTTCTCCTAAAATGGTGATGTCGCGCTTCAGCATTGTGGCACCAACCGCCACCGTCTAGACTCGGGAAGGAATGAGCCGTACCTCTTCCACTTTGGGTCGAGAGACCCTGCAATGAGTTCCTTTCTGGGTATTTCGACCAAGCGGAGTCGATTGGTGAGGTGCAGGAGTCGCTCCGAGTTGATCTTCCTTGTGATTTTAATCCCGCCGCATATAATTTGGTCCTGAAGTCCTGAAGTGGCACAAAGATGTGTTTTTTCGGCATGCCGGAAATACATTCCTCAAAATAAGTCCAGTACCCAGCCGGTTTTCCTCCACTTACTGAAAAGACTCCACCATATCACCTTCGACTGTGGGTATATCTCGAATGGGTAGTCTTCTGTGCGTGTATTTATTTCTCCTTGATTCCTCTGCCACTTTAGGACCTAGAACCACTTTTTTTTGTTTCATACCGACGAAAATTCGGGGAGTGACGGAGTTACATCANCCAGTACCCAGCCGGTTTTCCTCCACTTACTGAAAAGACTCCACCATATCACCNTAATTCGTTCGACTGTGGGTATATCTCGAATGGGTAGTCTTCTGTGCGTGTATTTATTTCTCCTTGATTCCTCTGCCACTTTAGGACCTAGAACCACTTTTTTTTGTTTCATACCGACGAAAATTCGGGGAGTGACGGAGTTACATCATATTTGACCCCGGTTGGGTCGTCTAGCTGGTAGAAGTGGAGGATAGGGGCCAGAGGGGCAGACGACAGAATCCAATGATGGGAGAAAAACAAAAATACGTAACACTCTAGCGCGGAAGGCGCCCTGTATCTTCTCTCCTCCTTCCATGGCGTGAATGTAGCACAGCGTCAACTTGACAGCAGCGTGGTTGTTGCACCGCAGACACAACAGGGTCCTACCCACAGACGGGAAAAAATCCACCAATTCCTCCGATCCTTTCTCGATCCTTTTCCCCTCCAACTATGGACTGCAGCATGTTGCTGTCTTCACATTAAACCGTATGTCAGTTGCTAAATGCCAAAATCTAGCAAAGACTCTCGGCCCGTGGTCACGAAAGTGCTAGAGCCATCTGAGGATCTGAGGATCTAAAGAACACGCACACATATAACGAGAAAAAGGTATCCAAGAGCCCGAAGAGATACACCTAAAAATATCCCTGCAGCACCGTATGCGTGCCCAAAAACTGAATTGCACTTCCGTCCCACCGTTCGACTACAGCAGTAGCATCACCCCCTCCTTGTCCCATTGTATGTGACAATCTATACAGACGAGATGCGTGCCATGCATAGAAAGCGAGACCGATCCCGCATGGATGGTTGAGATGCATGCATGCAGATGTTGTCGATGTGTGGTAATGTGGTGGTGGAACAGAGAAGGGAGGAAGGATTCTTCGCACACATACATGCGATTACTTGGAGTATTACTCCAGAAGCAGGACACTGCTGCTGTGTCGCCCAACTCCTGAACCCTCCCTGCCGGTAGAGAAAGAGAGGCTGATGTTCGTTGGGTAGACTATTCATCCAGCATCCGGCATTTGACTATTTCCCCCTCGGAAGAGCCCAAAAAAAATCACATATCGCGGATTCGGAAATAATCTTTTATCTGTCGGGAAGAGGGACAGTGGCCGGGACTTTCATCTCTCTCCTCCCTCTGCATGCACTTCGTGTGGCGTGACGCGGAGAAATGGGAAACCCTTCAAGCGAAAAACAGGGAGGGCAGGGCAGAGCCAGCCGTTGTGGGCTCTTGGGGAGCAAGCCTTCGGTTGACATGCAGGTGAGGAGTGAGGATGCTGGGCAAGGACACCCCGAACAACACCAACGGCCGGACACCGCAAGGGTTGAAGATCACAGGTGGCCGGTGGGCACAGTTGTGCGGGGGCGTTGTGTAACCTCCGGCCAACGAGGGGTTATTACATGGGATAACGTTATGAAAGCGGTTATGCGCGGATTGGTGTGAAGGAGGAGAAAAGAAAAATATATGTGTGAGCCTTCCCCTCCCTTCCGTTGTATTCCACTCGATCGACAGTAGTTGGCGATACATCGGCAGACAACTTTCCTCTCTTCAGCGATGGATAGCGGAAGATCACACACCGCGGTAGGGATCGAACCAGCAGCAACCTGCATCTAGGAGGTCTATTGGTAGGCACACCGCGGTAGGGATCGAACCAGCAGCAACCTGCATCTAGGAAGTCTATTGGTAGACCCCTACGCTATATGTTCATGCATACGTCTCATTCGCAAATTCCATGAATCTACAGTGTGTGTGTTTTCGTCCTGTTTATTTTGGCGACAGTTGCCCCATTTTTCGTGGTGAGACGTGTCCTACACTTTTCAGCGCCATGTACAGTACTACTATGTGAAGACAACAACAGTACTATTAATACTACACTTTTCAGGGCATTTTTTCGTTCAACTATCACCATTCAGGATCACACAGGAGGGGGTATACACCAGGGCTTTTTCCTTCTTTCTATTTCTTTTCATGCCCCACCTTCCTCCTGCGGTGCGTGCTGAATTTTATTTTTATCGCGAGAAGGGTCCAGC